AAAAAAAAAAAAAAAAATAGCAGCCAAATACATGATTTAAGTTATTTCCCTGAGGCTTTTTGTCATTTTTTTCCTATGAGATAAACATAAAACAATAATTGATTGACTTCATGCATTACTATGTGTTTTGTGTATGTGTAAGCATGTCTACGAGTTTTTGTACATATAGGTAACTGGCATTTACCAAGACCATCTTATTAGATGATAAAAATAGCAGTACCATAAAAATAATAATAAAATATCAGAGACTATTATATTGTTTAAAGTCACTTATGTGATTTTATATAGTCATTTGTTTCTTTCTTTTTTTTTTTTGGTACTGGGAATCGAACTCAGGACCTTGTGCTTGCTAGGCAGGCACTTGTACCACTGAGCTATATCCCTGACGCTTATATAGTTATTTCTATACTTAAGAAGTAAAGACATTCTCAATTGCTCTGATACTAGATGTAAAAGAGCACAGAATAAAAATTACTAAGTAAAAATATGATAGGTGAGCAAATTTACAACTATCGGGCAGGCGGCAGTAAAAGAGCTAACTAAAATCAGTGTGTTTTTAACTTTCTGATTACTGAGAAGCCTCTCAACACAAGTATGCTAAATAAGCCATATTTTACTTACTGACCATTGGTAATAATATATACAATTTATATAAAATCCATTTATGTTAAGTGAGTCACTAGTACAAGTTGAAGTAATTGTGAGAATTGAATTTTAATGAGGTTATAATGCAAATAATCATACTGCCCAATAATCATCAAAAGTGTAATGCACAGCATAGTGTTCAGATTTGGATTTACTGTACTATTATCACTTTATATGTTACTATACACAAATTTAGACAATATAAAAATAAGCAAAATTATTTTAACTTTTACCTTAAAAATACAAACATTTTAGTTTTAATGTAAGTCCTCATGGTTTTAAAACGTCAAACTGTTAGGCTGATATGTGTTACATGCATGTCCTATTGATGTCTGTCAAGAAGGAATTATAGTAACATTGTGTATTATCAGTCCATACTATTTTAAAATTTGATTATCCAATCAGTATAAAATAGTGTATGCCCCTTACCAAAAATTTAAAAACTGAAAGTAGCTTATTTCATTTTGTTTACTAAACAGTTGTAATGTGGTTCACAGTACAGTGTTTAATCATATATTTAACCTTAATCTAATCTTCTCATTTTATATTATAAAAACTTTTATATTATTTTCTGTTCTCCAAAACAAGTGAAAATGAAATAAACTAAAAAAAAAAAATCTGTGTGCAATGTAAACAGAGAATGAATAGAGCAAGGAAAAGAAGACATACGACACTCTATGAAAGTGTCAGTGTCAACTTAGCCATTTAAAATGGTATCAGAACCCCAATGATCACTTCCTGAGACATGATCAATTAATAAAAAAAAATAAAGAAAATCAAGTCACAAAGGAATACTAGAAATTTTGTTATGACAGTGAAATGACTTGGTTATGAAACAGTGAAGGCATTTTGTAATTGTCAGAGATAAATTGGCTAGGCACTTATTTGGACATAACATTTTACAAAAGATTAATATACATTAGATGACACTCCTATATTGCGATGAATCACAATTAGACATTTATTACTTGGTACTCATATCTATATAAATTGGAAGAAAAAAATGGAATAATATTATATGAAAACAGCTGTCTGAGGAGGGGTTAACTAGGAAATACATGAAAGATTTTACCTGTCCAACCAGGCAAGCAGACTCTTGGCTGCTCCAATCAGATCCACAACCGATGTGAGAAAGTCATTTGGCAGTTTTCGACTGGTTCTCCCGTCATAGTGGCCACTCCTTCTCCTTCCTGTTATAAAGTTCTGTAGATTTTTGGCAGATGCATTCAGCTTATGAGATAGAGTTTTTAGATTTTCTGTCTCCAAGCCATAATTCTGAATCATAAAAAAAGTAATAAATAAAGTCAATATTTCTTCCATTCATGAAAATATTTCCTGAGTACTTCACTATGTACAGACAATGGGGATATTATAATTATGAATGAGTAAGGTTAAGATTCCTGGGTCTAGTGCAGCCCATGCTAAAGTGAGGATATGAGGAAATCTCAGATAAAGAAATAATAAGATGTGTTATGTATCATTAAGAACATGGAATGATGTATCCATTATATCTTGGAACTATGCCACCTGATATAGCAAGGCTGTTAGGATTCATGAATTTATTTTTAAAAACCAAAACCTAAGTTTATTTACTTGTGAAATTATTATAGTCAATTATTGTTTTATTGTCTATTCGATTCCTGTATGCAAGCTCATGAATATAGATACCAGGAAAAATTCTGCTTATCCGAAGCTAAAAAAAGGGTAACCTAACAATAAAATAAAAGAGAAATAAATTATATAAAATAACCTCTGTTTTCTGTGTTCTCTACAGAATAATTCATAAGAAGTTTCTGTTACAACATGGTGTCAAGGAAAACGCTGCTTCTTTAGGGGAACTAATACACTTCCTCTTTTTTTAATAACATCAATTGAGAAGCTAAATTATTTTTATTTTTGTTCTGGCTACATGAGCTCACATTAACATGTAAAGCACAACCAAATCAGGCATAGTGAATTCTTAGTAAGTGTATTTGTTTTCTTCTTTTCTTGTTCTCACTTCAATATCTACTAGTATTAATTCATTCCAAATATTTTTGTTTATACACTATTTTAGATAGGGGTTAAGTTAATAAATATAAACATATTTCTTAATATATTTACCATCTTCAGATAGGGAAGGATTACACTATTCTTTCAAATAAACTTAGGGAAAGTTTTAATAAATCACAATTCAAATTTAAAACAGCTAATTGTGAGTTTGAAAACACTGATAAAACAAGGTAGTTAAAAAGATCAAAAGATGTCCTTGATTAAGTAACTTAGTTTTGTTATGTATGTTACTGTTCTGTGTAAAATTAAAAGTATATAACATTATAAAAACCAAAGAATATTAAAATTTACTTGGGCCTAAGAGGCTGTTAGATCTACCCTCTTTTCACAGTTACAGAAAATGAGGCTTAGGGAAATTTTTTTTAATGGTTTGCTTCAGAGCTCAGCGCTTAGACAGATGGTTTGTGAAAAGGGACTGCATCCCACCTGTTGGGGGAGATCTTTACCATGTTCCTTTAGCATCAACAACTGGAGCAAAGTAGAAACAAAAACTTATAAAAAAAGGAAAGGAAACAAACACTAAAAAGAACTTAGATGTACATCAACAACCACTAGGTATTTACTTTATGAAATTTAATTGGTTATTTTCCTATGGTAATTTAACAAAAGAGAAATTAGTGGGACAAAATGGAGTTGAGAAGATTTTCATGCATAAACATTAAATATCAAACTGTCATTTATATTATCACTTAATGATTTAATAACGATAAAATGATCATTCTTCGATGAAAATTTATATTTTATTGAAATAATATTCTTTTTTAGAACCTATACATTTGTTTTATTTAAAAACAGTATATTAAGTATTCACTCCTTAATTTGAATTGCTATATTCACCTCACAAGTTAAAACATTTGGCTTGTGTAAAAGGAACAATTTTCTATTCAAATTCTATTGCATCTGATCATGGGTTCTCTGTGAAAGATTTGAGAGATTTTTATCTACCTTGTCACTATATTAAGGAAATTCTCTTATAAGTTTATAAAAGATGCTATCACATGAGTAGATAGGAACAATTTACTGTGTAATTACATCAACTAATGATGATGCTTCTTATGTGCTTAAAAGTATTTTCAGGTTTTCCACATTTTAAAGCATTGCTCTGAAATACAGAGTAATAGCATTATTTTTTGTTTATTAATTGGTTTAATGAAGAACCATTTGTTTACAAATTATAATTTCTTAGAGCTCAATATTTAATAATTTATTAGCGAGAAATCAAATCAATTAACTTGGTAACTGATCTTTCATTCACAGTCATTAAGCCTCTACAAAGATTAACTTAAAATATTTCACCCTACAATATTAGCATGTTGTTATTAGAAAAGGAAAAAAAAATTAAAATAATACTAATCTTACAAATTAAAATCTGAAGCCTAAAAATACCTTGAAGTCTTCAAAATTGAAGATACTAAAATTATTTCTTCTTTTTTTTTTTTGGTACCAGGAATCGAACTCAGGACCTTCCACTTGCTAGGCAAGCACTAGTGCTGCTGAGCTATATACCCGGCCCAACTAAAAATTGTTTCTAATCTAACTCAAGAATTGTTTTTGTGTCGTTTTGATTTTGTCTGCATTGTTGTGTTAGTTTTATCTTTAAAAAAAATCTAGAAGGAATTACCTGAGATCTCCTAACTTGGAAAGCACCTAAGGAAATATCCCATATGGAACAGAGGTAAAACATGGGAAGGAAAGAGGAATGCAGTGGCAGGAGACAAATATATGTATCAGAGGATGGAGAAGGAAATTGGGTAGCTCAATGTTAGAGTGCTTGCTTAGCACATGCACTACTATGCATTTTGAGTCCCCAGTACCATACAATAAACAAGCCCCCCAAAACCCAGCAACAAAATACAAAACAAGCTCACTTGTCCTAGCTAACAAATGTGACTAGCTATCCCCATAATCAAACAGCATTTTAAAAAAAATTTATAGTGGTATAAAAATAGTTTAGAAACTCATCTGTATATGACTATTTTCACAAGAGACTAATCTCACCAGATAATTTTCATCATAACAATTCTCAATTTTAAGTACCTCAAAAATCAATTACTGTGAGCACAGGTACTTTCTTTCCTTTCCTGAAAGTGCACACTTTGTTGCAACTTGCTTTTAAATTACGAGTAAATCACACTCCACTGCTTACCATTTAAAAAATCAACAAGTAAATGAAGTGCTCCTTTGCCTTTGGCCAGTATAGTGACGAGAAGCACTGCCATACCTTTTTAAAATGAAGGTTTATTCATTACACACTTTTTAAATGGATACACATAGGAAAATGCTGTATTACTGTTAGTACAGAAAGTACTACCTTAAGAAAACAAAAACATGGGCCTGAAATGTATGTACGCTGCTTTCTTTGGCTCAGTGATGGCAAACCTTTTGGAGCTTTTGATGATAACCAACGGCCTGCCGTGGCAAGTATGCCAGAGGTTTGCCGCCACTGCCCTTTGAATTTCTTATGTGTTCCTATACTTTGCCACTAAAACGTGTGCCACAAGCCAGCAGTGAGTCACAACCAATTCAATATAGTCAGTCTAGTCTTGATGAATTGGTACTAATACTGGTCTTCTCTTTCAAGTACATGCATGTAAAAACATATATAAAAGAGAAATTAAGGAACATATTTAATATTTTAGAAAAATTGTCTTGGCTAAATCTTCACTGCTGACAAATGCTATTTAAATAATTTAATATTGGTACTGCATATTTTACGTTAACGTCATTTATGCAGTTCTTATTTTGAATCTATCAGGTAGCAGCTGTTTAGGTTTTTAATACTTTGCTTTATGAGTAATTCCTAAAAGGGTTGCATTAATGAATTTTAGAAAATAAATTATTTTGAGATGAATGAACAATGCAATTATATTGTAAAGAAACAGATCCTAACAATTGCAAACATCAAATTTCTCATGAAGAATGCCTATTATATGAAAAGTATATAGAGAATGAAGTGAAAACTGCTTTTATCCTGTCATAAATCATTCACTTATAGTATCCAATAAAAGATACACTATCAGAATACAAATTAAGGGCTATACATGAAGATATACATATGTGTACTTTTACTCTTTCAGTTTCTATTCTTTGTTCTCTATTTAAGCATACAAAATGATTGCATTAGTAGTTTGAAAGAGTTAATACATACCCAAATCATTAACAGCTTAATTCCTCCTGGATTGCACTGTACAAATAATATAGTTGATACTTAAATATATTTTGCATGAATGAACAGTTGACTAAATAATCCCTGATTTTTATCAAGTGCCATAACACTGACTCTACATCACAACTAACTTCAAGACAAGGCAGATAAAAATATAGCATAGCTTAGAAGAAACAAAAAACATTTGGTGATTTTCTGTCTTTCTTACACTAGGAAAAGAAACTTCAGAGTCACAGACTGTGTAGGCAAGAGAAAAAAATTCTACAGTTCTTTGAAGAAAAGTTGGAAGTTTCATTCAGTGACACAGCAGTGATTTAACATCCTCTATATGCTAAGCACCAGGCAGAAAGCTGAAGAAAAAGCAATGGCTTGGACAAAGGTGCCTTCTTTACTGGAATCTACCATGAACGGGAGGATCCCAGACTCTAAGCAAAGAATTATAAAGTGACCCACAGTATATGTGGCCTTCCTTATTACTTCTTTTTTTTTTATTTTGAAGAGATTCACTTTATTCATTTTTTTGTTGAGATTCACTTTAAATAATTCTCAATACATGATAATTATTGTATCAAACCTTTCATGTTGTAGTTTTAGTTTCCTTCCTTTTATCTTTAAAATAAAATAAATAAATAAATAAATAAAAAAGAAAAGGAAACTATTACTTCTAACTCAGCCAAATCAATACATTCTTGTTTTCAACTGACCACTCCTTAATTTCACAATTCTGTCTTTACATATCATATTTCTTTTGCCTAAGTTTTCCCACTTGTTGCCGAGCAACAGGCCCTTGTCCTGTAATACTAATGTAAAATTTCATCCACTATTTCTGCATTCTTCAGCAGTGTTCCTCACTTTCTTCTCTGAGATTTTCCTTAAATCTATGTTTCCATTTAAAGAGTGTTGTCTTCCTGTATACATCTTAAAAGTACAGACACTGTCTTTTTAATCTTCACATTCTTATTGGTAGCATTCTTTGAACGCAAAGATATAATTGTTAAAAGAAGATATAAATGAAATAGAATAAAAAAGTAGAAAGTCCAGTAGAAACTAGAAACAAAACATAGTTCCCCATTCCCGACAGTATAGCTCGTAGTATAGTCCATTCAGCTTGTTGACTAGGCATCTCATCTCCTGATTTTATAATGGGATGCAGAAGTAAACCAGAATTCTCTGGTCAGAAATTTGTTTCATCTTTACTAGAAAATATCTGTTAAACAAACTAAAAGATATCTGCACTTCTGACTTTCCTCAGGTGCCAACTCTGCACAATGAATATAATTATACAATGCAAACATGTACTACTAAAATTTTTAAACTGTTCCTCATCATAAATAAAAGATAAAAAGGAAGTTAAATATTTGACCTCTTTGGGAATGGGACAGTCATATGAACAGAAAAAAAAAAGGAACTCAGTGATTTACTTTTTTCTTTCCTGTGTTAAGTTCCAGAAAATCTCACTCAAATAATTAAGTTTTCAAGCGACATAACCCTAGTTTTTAAATCCAGAGTTACAGAGGGATTAAAACTCAGTATATGGAGAGATTTATCACAACTCCACGGCTTGAATTTAGAAATAATACAGACATGTATCCCTGATATCGTGCTTTTAAGTAGGTTTAGGTCAGCAGTCTTATACATGGGCCAGATCTCAAAACCTACAAGTCTATACTAATTGTACATAATAATGTCAGTCATAAACCTTCTTTCCTTCTTCAAACTGGCAACGTGAAAGCTCATGAATGGTTCAGGTACAAGGAGTTCTGCTTATTGGACATACACTCTGGACATCAAGCTCTGAAACACACAATTTGTATTGTTGTACAAGACATGGCAATTAAGGAAATACTAAACCATGTGCCCATCTCCAGGTCACTTCCATCATATTTTCAGGATCACTCTGACTCAGATCTGGAGACTAGTAGGATAGAAACATTGGGGGTCTTTACCTTGAGTCCTATCTTTAACTTTAGGCATGATTTCTGCAACATAATTTAGAGAAGAATGAGAGTGCATATTGTGGTTTGAATTTATTTATCTCAGCAAGAGGGTTATGAAAAGATCCCCAAACAATAATATGAAAAATATGACAACAGTCCTACATCACCACTTTCAAAAAATATTAATTGAGCATCAACCATTATTAGGCATTTGTGCTATACATACATGTTTAATAAGCATAGCTGCTTTTCCCGCATAGCTTACCATTTAGTAGAAGAAAGTAACATTAATTTGATAAACACCCATAAATACTTAATTACAAATGAAATGAGGATTAAGAGAGATAACAGTGTGAGGGGGTGGTGTTTTAGGTGAAGCAAGGGTGAGGAACCAATCAAAGATCGTCTCTTTGAAGAAATGCCAGTGAAGGTAAGACTTACATATAAGCTAAGCTTTTCAAGAGGGCAGGAAGCAGGTCTTATTCACCTATGACAATACAGGGCTTTGTATTAATTGATTCATGAATTATGTTTAATTATCTGCATATTTCTTATCAGTCATAATTACCTCCATAGTTCTGACCTATTAAATGTGTGCTGTTTGCTAGGCACTGATTAGGTCCTATACAAATAATTTCATTTGAGGAGCTAGATATTATTTCTATTTTAGAGAAGATAACTATAGCCACAGTAAATTTGTCAACAAGTATTAATAACTAAATGAGTCAAGAGTTAAGAAAGGATATCACATTACATAGTTCATTTTTTTTCTCTGTGTGACCCTACCCTCCTTCAGAAATAAGTGGAAGAATTTAAAACCACTCGAGTTAGTGTCAATTTATCTCACTTGGAAAAAGTATCTATGTTTTTCTCAGAATGTCTAGCGTCCTATAAGAATCTTACAGAAGGCTTTTTGTCTATGCATTTCTCTTTAACGTGAGAATGTAAGCACTGGTTGTGGTTTAGGTCTGAATGTCCCTCCAAAGTTTCACGCGCTGAGAGCCGAGAGTTACAGGGCTTGCTGCAGCTGGCTTGCTATCAGGAAGCAGGTTTTGATTAGAGCTGGGTCATTGGGGACATGACCCGAAAGACGTATCTTCATCCCTGGCTTCTCCCTTTACTCTCTGTTTCCAGGCAGCAATGAGATGAGCAGCTTTCTTCTGCTTGGGCCTTTCCATCATGCTACTTTCTCCCTGGAGCTGAGCAACCAAGCAGGGACTGAAACTTCAGAAAGTGTAAACCAAAATAAACCTCTTCCCCTTTAAATTGTGGGTACGTGGCTCAGCAAGGAAAAAGTGACAAGGAAACCACAGTACAAGATAAGCAAATAATTTAAACTTTTTTTCTAAAATAATATTACTTAGTATTTCTGGTACAAAACCTAAACTTTCAGAAGAAATTGGAATCTATACCTGATTGTATAGAATTTTGTATCCAAAATGTTGCTATGAAAACTTCCTTGGCGAGCTCTAATTTATGTTTCTCAAGTGGCTACATGTATGTCAACAGTTAAGTTATAAGTTTCTTTGTCATTTGGAACTAATAATAACAAATTCAAGGAAGGAGGAAAATATTACATTCAATTAGTTCAAAATTAGGAGGCTTTTTCTCTCACTGTTTAAATTTAAATTATTAAAAGAAGAAAAGAAAAAAAGAGTGAAGGAACAAAAGGGAAAAAAGGCAAGTTTCCTTTTCTACACTTTCATGTCCTCACCAGAGCGCACAGAAGGTCAACTGCTTCCAAGATCAGTTCCTGATGCCCAATGCGGCTGACTCCCAGATCTTCCAGTTCCTGATGTGTAATGCGGAGTAGCTGGTCCCCACTGATCTTCTCCCTCTCAAAGTTCTTAATATACTGCTGCAAACAGTCGTCAAGACCTACAAAATAAAAGTATTGAAGACCAGAATGAAAAAAGCAGTTGAGCCAAATAAAGAAGGCAGGAAGTGCTAGTTCCAATCATGCTTGACTTTGGACTAGTCCAACTATCCACCTTTTCTCAAGGTACACGTGGGGCTGCAGCAAAAAAGAAAAAGAATCACTTTGTCATATTCCTAGTAGTAAGACTCCACTTCAATTTTCTTCAGAAATTATTGAAAATCTTTTGTCTCTCTTCTCAGCAGTTTGCCTTGTAAAACACGTTACCCGAATGACAAATCACAAAGTATGCTAACAGATTCCCCTAATTTCAACGTAATCAGAAACAAACTCTCTCTTCTTTAACCCCATTTCAGAGACAGTTTCTTCATACTATACAAGGTCAACTATCTTTCTATGCTCCAGAATTCTATCTTTTAGCTCCTTAATACTGTTTCAAGAATTTAAAAAATTTCTGTGCTCCGTTTGTTTCAACTATTTCCAATTCATTGACTCCTTCTATATTCAAACCTCTGCCATCCTAAAAAACAAAGCATACCAAAATCTTTCTTTGACTCCCTTGATTCTGTGTTCTCCATCTGTCATCCTCTTCAGCCCCAGCCCCCTTAGTCTTTATTTGCTCACCTATGACGCACTCCTCAATCTATTATTATGTGGGTTCTACCCAAGTCCAAAAACCCCCATAAGTAGTAATAACATTGGATTTTATATTCTTCAAACAATCTTTTTCAAGATTACCCAAGGCAATTCATAAATGAGTGGCTAGGCTACACACTAAGTTAGCTTTAACCATCTATGAAATGGCCTGGCATATGTAATGAATTAGATTAATAAGATTTACTCTCTAGAATTTTATGTAAAGAATATGAAGAAAATGAAGGAATTAGCACATATTAACTGGTCTTGATTATATCTAGAAGGGAGTAAAAAGGCCATAATGTGCTATATTATAGTTAAAATAATAAGGAAGTAGAAATTGTAAGCAGGTAAAAGAAAAAAAGAGTTAGAATAAATGTGTCAAGGAAACAAAGTCCCATAATGGATATATTATAGAACCACTGAGTGAGGAAAAAACTAAGACTTAAAAGCAGCCAGGTTCCTGGTAGGTTCTAGTACCAGGCCACACATGCCCTTTCTAAACACTCAAAATTCCTCAAAGTAAAGTGAGTCACCTGTGGCATCTCTATACTATCTTTCTTATCTTTCATTCTTTATTGTTATGTGAATACTAGTAAGAACTAAAATTATATCTGGATTTAGCAACACAAAGGTCACTTGTGATGTTTATGAGAATTTTACAGTGGCAGCAATAAACCAGCATTCAATGAGTTGAGGAGTCCTCAAAGCAGCCAGGGTCTAAAAGAGACAAGACCAGTAAGAGAATACCTGAAGAATACAGGATATAGCCAGTTGTTTTTCTTTAAAATACTAAACACTTAGAAATCTTTAAGTGTACAACAACAACAAAATCTTCATATGTATCTCTACTGAAGGATGAAAGGAGACGATGGGTACAGATACAGATAGATTATTTTTGTAAGAAGATGAGGGCCTCCCATCTAGAGTTTATGGACCTGTATGAATGTGTAATGGTTCCATGAGATCTCTGTAAAGCAAAAAAAAGTAGGGGGGGAGAAAGGAAAAAAAAAGATAGGCAGAAATGTACATTGGTAACATTATAAATATGTGCTAAATACCTGAATAGAATCAGAACTAACTACAGTGTCATGAAATAAAGCAGGATTTTTATTTTAAAGAGAAAACTGAAGTCAAGAACAAGGAAAAAAAGATGAGTGAACTATGTGTCAGATAGGTCGTGAAGGCTGGAGATACAGAAGTAAATATGACACATACCTCAAGGAATGCATTACTTGGAGGCCCAAACCAGAGTTATCCAAAAGAGTCATTACAATTTGATGTATTAAAGAAAGTAGTGATCACAGTAAAAACAGAAGTAGACGGAATCATTTAGGAAGATGATACATGGTGAAAAATATAGAGGGCCCTAACACTTCAGGGATGGCCAAAAAAAGGGACATCCAAAAGAGAGAACAGAAATAGATCAAGAGAGGACTAATGTGATAAGGTAGTTATGACAGACAAGTGTTAAATGCAACACAGCATCCCAATAAGGGAAAACTAAGATCACTCTAAATTTGGCAGTCAGGTGATTATCAGTGATTTTACCCAGAATATCACAATACTGGTAATAGAAGCCAGGTAGTAGTATGTGGGGTTGTGCATCAATTGAGAAATTAGAAAGTGAAGGCCTTGCATGTACAGCATTCATTCAGAAGACTATACATGGTATTGGTGAGGATGGGGACTAAATAGGGAGGTAACAAGTAGGATCAAAAGGACTGTTATAAAGTTGTAAAGATAAAGAAACAAAAACAAGAAATTAGGTAACTTCTTAAATGTAACACAGTAAGAGACTGGCAAAGACAGGCTTAAAACCTAGTCCCAGAGGATTTAAAGTCTAACTTGTTTTGACTCCTTGAGACCATCTCAAGACTTAAAAGAAAAGCCATCCCAACAGCAAAGTGGATTTATACCCTGCAAAAGAAACAGGATAAATGAAGATAGACACATACAGTTATTAAAGTGAAGAAGGGATCATAGCACAGTGGCTATTAAAATCATATTCTTCCATTCCTGGGTTAATTATTTTTAAAACTACCAAGAACTAAATTCTATGGTAGTATACTCTGATGAATTGAATACAGTACAGAATACAATCTGAAGCTGCACGCAAATGAATGGAAGGTAATACATTGCAAATAGCATTTAGATAACACTGAAACCAATATAATGCATGGTGACCTAAGAAACTCCTGTTCTTCAAGTTCTTCAATATCATCCTTCACAATTTCTTTCCTAAAAGCAAGTAGCTTCTCTATAACAAGTAGATATGATTTGTTTTCAAAATGATTGTCAAGAAAGCCAAATAAAATAGGAAAAGGAAGGGCAATTTTCTTCTTAGCCTGTTCTCCATTACTCTGTCCTAATTTATTTTAGAAAAGGCTAAGCTTACAATAGGTTTATTTCCAAATGGAAGAGTTAATGAAAGAGTAGTACCTTTTACTTATTTTTTCAGTTCCTTGTGTCCCAAGCACTATTATAAGCACTTTACAAATATTTTCTCATTTAATCATTAAAACTATTCTATGAATTGCATATCATTATCTTGATTTTAAATGAGAAATTAAAAAATGGTAATTTAGGCATCATGCCCATGATTCCACACCTTTTAAATGGTTATGGCAAGGTCTAAGTCGAGTTTGTCTGATTCCAGATCTCTGTTCCTAAAGACTACACTAAACTAGAAATGAGAGACAGGTACAAAGGATTATTTCCAAACCTCTGCACGATAGTAAGTCATTATGTCAAAAATATTCTTCATTTTTCATTTAAAACTTTAAAGACATTATTTAAAATACACCTAAATTATGCTTTATATTAAAAGACATTTAATTATGTCATTTACACACACAAAATGCAGCAGAGTAATGCACTCAAAGTAAATATGAGTAATATGATTAAGGGAAAACATAGCTAGTCATATGAGACAAAATAACAATACTACCAAATCCATACCAATGAATAATACTATATGTGCTAATATATAAAAGGAACTAGCACGAACTAGCACAGACTATAAACTGCCCAGCAATCAACATGAAGAAAAAAACTGAATCAATGATATAATTTAAAATATTCATTGGATAAAAGTTGGTCAGTTTCTAACAGAAGTCTATCCATTCTCAACCCTATATTTCTCATGTGAAGAAATACTTGTGTGAAGGAATAAACACTAACTTCAATAAACCATTTTGATAAACATCACTACAAGTCATCATTGAATTGTTTCTTACTGCAAAGCTGAAATGTATTTTAAAAATATATTTTATTGTACATCAACTAACAACTGGTTATCATGTAGAAAACAGTTAATATTTACTGCCTTTAAAGATGTTACAACCTATAAAAGAACTTATAAATCCAAAGACAAAATAGCAAGGGTTCACTTTTATAATAACAACAAATGAAAAGATGAGCTCTAGTTAAATCATCTTTTGAAAATTAAAAGCTCATCAATAAGTGCCAAAATGTTTTGGACACAAATACTATACATTCATTTAATATAATGACAATTTCAAATGAAAGTTTCTCATGGTTCAAATGAAAGTTTTTCACTGATTATGAAAGCCACATTTACAAATAAGAGTGAGAAAGCAATCTATACATGGGAGAAAATATCTGGAAATCTTCTCTCTGATAAGAGGTTAATATCCAGAATATATAAAAAACTTACAATTCAACATGACAAAAATTGGATTAAAATAGGGAAAGGACTTATATAGACATTCTTCAAACAATATATACAGACAGCCAATAAATAAATGAAAATGCATAGTAGTGTTAATCATCAAGGAAATGCAAATCAAAACTACAATGATGTATTACCTCCTACACATTCGATTGGCTGCTATCAATATAAGCACAAAGTTCGGGACTGTTTGTGAGAATGTAAAATGATGCAGCCAAATGAGTTGGCAGGTCCTCACAAACAATGTATCACATACGAGAAGAAAGGAAGGAAGGAATAGGGGAAGGGAGGGGAGGGGAGGGGAGTGGAGGGGAGGGGAGAGGAGAGGAGAAGAGAGGAGAGGAGATCAGAGGAGAAGACAGGAGAGGAGATCAGAGGAGAAGAGAGGAGAAAGAAAAAGAGTACGTGACCATAAAATTTAGCAATTCTGTTCCTGGCTATATACTCAAAAGAAAAAACACAAAGACTTGAAGAGATAATTGTATAGCCATATTCTGTAGCAGCACTATTTACAATAGACAGAAGGTGGGAATAAATCTAAGTGTACACTAAAGTATGAACAGGTAAAGAAAATATGGCATATACACAATTTATTGACGAAATGAGACACTGTCTCAAAATGGGGAAGTTGGCTGCGAATGCAGCTCAGTACAAAGGTCCTGACATTTGTAAATTGTATACTTTAAAAAAAATCCACAGTACAGCAAAATTTTATATATATATCTCCAGAAGCAACACATTTGTCACAAATTTATGGGCCAGAAAGAAATAAATTTCTTACATTGTAGCTAGAAAAATTATGGGAAAAAAGCTATTTCAAATTAATTATAATTACATTTATTCAAACAAATCCCTAACTGCACATTTTAAAGACAGATATTCAGAAAACCTAATTTTCCAAAAAATAAAGTCTAAGGAGATATTCACGAGCCTAAATGAGCAACAATTAATTTCATCCTTCACAATATTCTTACCATTAGTTATAAGAGTACAGTGGAAGTTCTTCAAAAAACAAGGCAAGAAACCATAAACAATACAAATTCATGTTATCTTGAAACATGTCTCAAAAAGTTTCTAAAATATGGGCCTTTTAATCCCTTCCTTGCTCAGTAGAATTCTCTTTCATTTTGACAGTACTCCTCTCTTTTCCTCTCCTGCCTCGCCTCTCCCCTCCCCTCCCCTCCCCTCCCTTCCCCTATTCCTTCCTTCCTTTCTTCTCGTATGTGATACATTGTTTGTGAGGACCTG